ACTCAACAAAGTGAAGAAGTCTCTCCATGCGGGGGGTTCAGCAGACCAACATAAGAAGACAGTTGTGAGCATCCATCCCGTCTGCATAGCCCATACTGAGAATTCAGCAGCGATGCAGCAGGAATACGCAAATAATAAACTGAAGTTTGTGGGTGTAACAAAAAAAGACAAGCTGGCAGGACGCTAACCATTGCTGGTGATTTAGTGTATCGTATTGGGCTGATCCTGGTCAGCCCCAAATTATGTTTTGCGGTATCGGAATTCCCCGCAGTGTGAAGAGAAAACGGATGGCTGGGTGTCAAATTCATGTGTTTATTTGTACAAATCAACCAACGTTTGTGGCCGTAACCCGGTGATGGTGCCGAAAAAGGCTTAAGAGTGGCCCAAGTGCATTAACTCTAGGGCCTTGCACAAGATTACTGTAAAGCAGAAGCTCCCCATGCCTTAGATTGCCGAGGCACTTGACGAACCACTGCTGAACATTGAAAGTTGAGTTGAAGGACCCCGATTCACCCCAAATATACAAGCACAACACCGTCCCGACCCGCGCTCGCGAGCTCGAGTTGGACCTATTGGTGTTCCAGCTGAGCTGCAACGGTAAGTAAATCGAGCATTTATGATTCTGTCAAGGGGGGGTGAATGACCTATATGGACACAGTTCTAATGTTTAACAAAAGTGTGAAAGAGCACCTGCAGCACTACAGTGTGCGCATAAGCTCTCACGGGACGAGCAGTGGGGTGTAAAGGTACGCAACTATTTGATTTCTGATGACAGCAATTATTTGTTGTGTTCCTGCGGCAGACATTGCTCAGATAATGCATAAATTAAAGTAGTACAGTGTGTTGCTTACGTTTTCGCATCTGCGAAAGACGTTGCGAAGTTCCATGGACTTGTATTCTACCAGTGAATCTTCATTCCTGAATTTTCTCCGCTCAATGCTCCGTTGACTGATCTACTTCAGAAAAGGCAGCTATTGTCATGAACAATGAAGGCTAATGGAACAGCAAGGAAGCTTGTCGGTAGCCTTACAACCGCCCTTGTATTTGCACTGCCCTAGTGTAAGCGTTATTTTCTTCTAAGAGCCGTTGCTAGTGGCGTGGCAATCGACTCTATTCTCTTTTTACAGCCTGCAGGCTAATCAAAACGCAAAGTTGTTGCTTTGCTCTCGTCGATTCATTTCAATCGGGCAGTGGTATCCAGTACAGGGAAAGGAACTGGGTGTGGTGTGGAGATGGGATGCGACAAATGCTAGCTCTCTGAGGTACATCAATGGCTGGTTCTTGGTATACGCAGCAGAATGACGCCCACACAACTAAAGACTCTCAAGGATTTTGACAGCCCTAGAGATGTTTGCTAGCTTGGGCGTCTCCTGTAATACGACTTACCAGTTAAGAATATAAACGGCATCATCAAGGATGGCGCCGACGACCTCTTACAACACTCCAGCAATTCACTACTGTGTAGCGCAACCCCTCTTGTCTGTAATGCTGTACAATCTCTATCAAAATAGCACGAGTCTTATGCTGTTGATACCCATCCGTCCTCTGTCGTGGCAAAAATCCAGAATGACAAAAGTGTGAAGCACTCTACGTTGAGGATGGGCTGCAGTGGTATACAGAAAAGTGGCAGCTTCGTTCCCTGTACATCCAATCCTCACTGCGTTGTGCTCGTTTATGCGTGGCCCGGAATCCTGTTCTCTCGGTACACGGTCCTTCTGGTGGCCTGGAATGCGTCCCGCGGCACAGGACAATGAAATGCTAGGCCCAGCATACCAACAGCTGAAGCCGCACAACTCTCGAAAGCCAACATTTTGCAAAGCCTTTTGGCATTGGACTAATGTGGCTCTGGACTTTATTCTTGGACTGCCTGAAGCCGAGGGTCAGGATTGCATCTACCTCGGGACCCACCAACACAGCACAGCACTTTTCATCCTTTGCTCCAGCTCCTTCACGGCACAGGACGTTGCTCTACCTTTTTAAACTCGTGTATGGTGGCTTCACACATCGCGCAGAAGTATCATCACCGACACGGATACGAATTTTTTCAGCACGTCTTTTTTTCCGTCAAACCGGCCTACGCATTGACCATCCTGTAACCTTTGCAAGCCACCGTTAGGCATACGGGCGGACAGAGCGAACCAACCGCGCTCTTCTGCAGTAGTTGCGAGTCTATGCTCACATAAATTAATTATTTTCCTTGATTTTATCCAAGGTTTGAGTGGATTCGACATGCAAGAGTACACTTGTGTAGGCGGTTACTCTCTCGCATACCTGGTCTACACGTGGGAGCCCTTCTGCGATCCGAGCCAGATCCTGGTTATCCGGACAACAGTGGCCAATTTTAGAAACGGATTGTTTTAGACACAGCTGACGGGCCCGTCCATCTGCGTGTGCAAAGCTCAATAGAACGAAATACAGGCTTACGATAAGCAGCGGTCTGCTGTGTGTTTCGTGCCTGACGATTTGGTCCTGATGGTGCAGCAAACTGTATGGCACACACCAGAGAATGACCAGAGGAAGAAGTTTGGGGCCAGATGGACATGACAATTTGAGATTCTCTTCAGAATTATTGCACTTTCCTACTCTATCGTTTTCCCTAAAAGTTGGATTTGCCACAGAACTGGTAATCTCGGGGTACAGCTCTTTAAATTATTGGAGGACTTTACCACGCAAAAAAATGACGAGTGTAAGGAAAGAGGATTCGCAAGGATATTTGAAGGTGCTGATGTATAGGAACATAGAGCACTGATGACATACAACACGGAAGTTTCTAGTAAAGTGAGGTGGGTCACACCAACCTAAGTGATTGGTGGAGGAGCAGATGCGGGCTCCTCGGCCTGCTACAGTCTGCGCGGTAAAGTCCGCGAATATCACAGAGACCTGCAAAATAGTTTAAGAATTTAAAGACTACGAATCGAATGGGAGTTCTAAAGAAGCTCGTTAAGAGCAGTTTTTCGCCGTGGGCAGTATTCCTCATATGCCTGGGTAATCGTCCGTTTTCAGCGTAGGCTTTCCGAAAAAAAAAAAAAAAATTATGGTTATTGCTTGAAGAACTGATAGCTGCTGCTGTGATGTTTTACACCTAGATCTACACATAGGCACTCTCAGATGCCTGATCTCTACACTGGTCCTCTTGCCTCTAGGGCTTGGGAATCGAATATGCTGCAAGCACCGGCTTTACTGCAAAGAGAAATTGCTCTACGAGGCGCGAGGGCACTGCTGGGGTAGTGTGAAATTTGATATTCGCTTACCGCTTTTGACTTATGTTTTTTGCCGTAGCATTAGACTCAGCTTTCAGCGTTCCGACAACGTTAGGCATCGCGCCACCGCGGTCGTGCTGGTTAGGTCCCTCGTTGGCTGTTGGCTAGTGTCTTCATCTTTATTCCTTTAAAGCTTGTCTTGACTGGCTGATTTTTGCTGTGTTTTGATCGCGCCCTCTGTTTTGGTGTTTCTGCATGCAGGGGGAATGGCGGAAGTGCGGGAGCCCCTTGCGCCGCCATGCCTGCAGCTAGTCTTGACGGACATCCAATGGGCACAAGGATATAAGCTTGTGAAATGGAGGCAGGAATGTTTTGCAGCGGGAACACCTACATTTAACACCCTTTTGGGTAAGCTACATTTTAACAATTTCCACTACACAATTTATACTTATCAGCAAAGCAGTGACTAATGGACTTGTCTGCTGGAACATCTTGATTATTGCAGAGCAGTATTATAGCGGAATAAAAAGGCACAGTGTAGTATGCTTCTGCGCTAGGTGCTATGAGCAACTAGCTGTGAATGTTCGGACTGCTTCAGAGAGTGGACCCACGCGCAAACGAGCCATTTTTACAACCTTCACATAAAGACATCCAGGGACGGGGACACACAAGGAATCAAGTTCTTTCATAACACGGTCAATGAAGTGCAATCAATTTTTTTTTGAGTGGGGAGTTAACCTCTCCATGTGGAGGCCCTGGGCGAAGCGTTAGCACTAGATGGGGCGCTATATTAATTCTTGTTGGACTTGGCCGTACTACCAGCCGCATAGAAGAGCTAAGTGAGAGAGCCATTCCCCTGCAAATTTAAAGTGAATGCAACTTTTGTAATAGAAAATGCCTAAGTATAGCTTCGCTGGCTACAAGAAATACAATCATGCACGCAAGCAGCAAGTTTGTTCCGGTTCGTGCTCTAAGGATAGATTGACATAGCACATAGCCATGAAAGAACCCATGAATGGAGCATCGGTTCTCACGACTTTCGAGGTTATGTTTACAGAAGTGGGTTGGCTCATTGCCGAAGCACTACACAGCTCTTCAGCCTCGTATCTTGGTTTTCATAGACGCCCCACATAGTCGAACCGAGTACATCGCATGGTACACTACCCCAAACCCTATAGGTCCAGAATTTACAAATACGAGTTTAGGATAACAGTATCTACACTGTAAAGTGCTTTGAAGGGTGGTGCACAGTGCGCTTCAAATGAACTGGTGGGCGGGAATCTTTTAATGGCTGCGCAAAGAGCGGAATGCATGAGGGGCAGACATCATCGCACCCGGCTAACAAATACATAAGTCAGCTCTTTGCAACCACAAGACAAATATTTTGGACATCTGTGAAGTTGCTTGTGGTGATGGTGCATGGGGGCGGCAGCGGCGTGTGTTGGCGTGATCGTGCCGGACGGTTTTGCTGTTTGCCGGATTGGGCATCCGACTCCATTCTGCATGACTCCTTCCTGTTTACAAGAGCCCTGTATTACCTCGCTCTGAGCAAGTAAATTGCAACTTAGAGAGCTAGGACGCGAGGAAACTGCTGCGAGGTTGGATTGTATGTACTGCATCCTTCTTACCCTCCACGCCTACCGTGCTACCAACAGGAACGCTACAGCCGGCGGCGCCCCATAGCGTCTGAGCTCCTGAGTTCTCCAAGTGCTCCCTCTTCGTGTTCTAGAGATCAACAACTCGGCAGGTGTTAATTTATTTATTCGGCAGTATCTTTTGTTCTGCTCAGCGGTGGTAACCATGGGGCTCTCTATCAGCCGGCTCCTCAGCCGCATCTTTGGAAAACGTGAGATGCGTATTTTGATGGTTGGACTGGACGCCGCCGGCAAAACCACCATTCTATACAAATTGAAGCTTGGGGAGGTTGTCACGACCATTCCTACAATCGGTAAGGGCGTAATCGCAGTGCTGCTTCACCCACTCAAGAATCCCCGTGTCTTTGATCCACGCAGCTCTTTTCCTCTTTCCTACTTCTCCAGTGCTGCAGTGCCTCCAGGGATACTTTCATTTGCTCTAATTATTTCAAAGCCGGCCGGGCAAGGGGCCGACATGAACCGTCTCCCCGACTTAAGGCTCCCGCAGACATGGAACTAGGGAGGACAGGCGAGGAGGCAAGGACACGTCTTTGTACTATTTCGCATTAGATGCAGTTCATTGTTGTATTGGAGCCACTGCTTTTAGACTGGGCACGAGACGGGAAGGACAGCAGCACTTTGGCAGGTCTTTTGTTCGTGTATGAATCCACAGCATGTAGTAGGTTGGCCGCTGGCACGGATGCGATATTTTTGGAATCCTGCAGTACATTGGGCGCGCACTGAAGCTAGTCTAAGGCCTTTCCCTATCATGGATAGCTATCATGTGCTTGGCTGGCTGGATGGCACCACGGGGCGACCCCGGACGCGTTGTCTACTGACTGCGAGCTGTTCGGCTGCAGGTCTTAGTGGTGCATTCATTCGATAGACGATATAGGGGATATTGAGAAATCTATACAAGCTTGTGCGGGTGGAGTGTCTATGGCAGCAGCAAATATTAGCGGCCTTGCCCTAGGGTCACGTCTCATATGTTCCTCTAAAGACGCTGCACTTCTGTAGTGGCCCCTTACCTCGTGCAGTTCGACCTTATCTGGTTGTTGATGAGTGATGAGTGCGCGGCGTGGATGACTTGTACAGTGATTGCGGGGTGACAATGCAATGTCGTGGGCCTTCAAGTGCGTGGTTCAAAGCCAACGAGGGCAATACGGGTATGACGGACCTACATCTGCGGCAACATGCACCTTTTTAATGGTGGTGCGGCTATTATTATATGGCTCATGGTGTTTTGCAGGCTTCAACGTTGAAACTGTGGAATTCAAGAACATCTCCTTCACTGTTTGGGACGTTGGAGGGCAAGACAAGATCCGCCCCCTGTGGCGTCACTACTTTTCAAACACTCACGGCATAATCTTCGTGGTCGATTCAAATGACAGAGAACGTATCGTTGATGGTGAGTGCGTCGTCCTCAGCTTTGCGTAAATGCAGCAGCCACTGTATAAGGGAAGGAAGCAGGAAATCCAAAGAGTTTGATGGGCAAGGGGAGTGCCACTGTTCTTGGTCTTCACCCTCCTTGTAGTTTGTTGTGTCATGTTCTTTTTCCAGCCAAGGAGGAGCTTCACAGGATGTTGGGCGAGGATGAATTGCGGGACGCCGTGCTGTTGGTCTTTGCGAACAAGCAAGACCTTCCCAATGCAATGAGTGTGCCAGAGATTACAGACAAACTAATGCTCTACTCCATCCGTCACAGACACTGGTACATCCAGTCGGCGTGCGCCACTGCTGGCGATGGTCTCTTTGAGGGGTTGGAATGGTTGTCTACCACATTGGCTAACAAATCGTAAGTCGTAAGCTTCCGTATAGTGCGTCTGCTCGTTTGGGGCCCTTGATGCGGCTTTTAATTTGCTCATCACTATTCTTTATGAGTGTTTACTCTTCCTACTAGCTGCATGTATGTAGTTGGACTTCAATTCAGGCGATCACTTCGTGTACTCCGTGATACAAGCGAGGCGGAACTACGTGCTTGTATCTGTGTTACTAAGTGGCAGTTTCAATTGGCTATATACGTGCATCTGGAATGCTTGAATTCGGCCAAACAGCACTGTGTCTAAAAAGATATGTTCGACCCCTCAGTTCTGGTGCGATGACACGAGTAGGATTATTTGAAAGATTTTGGCTGCGCAATTTATTCGCAGAACCGATTGATAGGTGGGCCACCCCAGCACGCCTCATTGGAGCGTCCTGATGATGGAAATGGAATTGCTTGCTGCTGCCTGTCGAGTTGCGGTCTCGGTTTTCGTTTCTGCCGTAATACTACGTGCTAGGCGCTTCCCTGTGTCGCTCACTACCTCTTCCATTCTTTTTATTTTCTTTCGAGGGAAGGGATGACGTGTCGCTTTTTTCCCTATTTGTACACTCGTCCCCTCCTCGTCTCGCTAGTGAAGCCCTCGAAGTATATATAGATGTATATACCTATGCAGTATATACATGTATGTATATGTGTAAGCATTCCTCTTCCCTCGGGGCGCCTTCAAGCCGCTTAACTCGGCGTAGAGGAACAAGCAGTGAAATGGTAGAGGAACACTAGCATTCAGCTGGAATGCCTGGAGGCACAGAACAAGAGGGCAGGCCCCCGCGCGCCTTCCTCCTGCCAATACTCAACACATTGTCTGCGCCGTATAGATGTATATATGTGAGTACAGGCAAGACGGAGGCGTTACGCGTCATCGTGTGTATAGTCGCATTCGGTGGTCTGCACTGCAAGGCAGGGCGTACACTGAACAAAATTCCTCCTTTCTGAGTATCAGTCTTCATTAATGCCTTCGCATTTGGGAGCATACAGAGCAGTGTAAGGGGTAGTGCTGCCCGCATTCACTTAGGGGTGAATGGGTAGCTGTAGGCTGTAGCTGCTACTAGCAGGTTTCAAGCTCTGCAGCGAGGTACGAACTTTCACTTGGTGTGGGGGTTGGGGGTGAGGCGACAATGGCTGGTGGTTGTTGCCAAGGATGGGGGAGCTCTAGAGGCAGGTATGCAAACAAAGAGCAGCATATTTAAGCGGGGGTAAGGATGTTCTTTGGGAATCATCAGCGCACTTCGTGAAGGGTTGAGAAAGACCTGTGATCGCATCCCTGTCTTGTCCAGGCAACTGCGAAATGGACAGTGGTGAGGGTTTGCATGCTGCTTTGGCCTTACTGTGCTTCTATCGCTTTAAACATGAAATAGTAGTATATTTTTTGGTGAGATGAGCAATGTAAGACAGATTGAGTGCAAACTCGGAGAACAAGGCGACTTTGGTGGCCGACGACCTCTCAAGCTGGAGGGTGGCTACTTCCTTTAAGTGCAGTTTCTGCATCATTTTCGGTTCACAGTATACCGTTTCAGCTGAAATTATTGTCATCGAACAAGGAAAATACCCACTTTATTGCAAGAGATGAAAGTCAAGAACGATAACTCAGGGGCAGCCCCGCGGTGGTGGCAGTCGGCAGCTCCTGGTGGTCGCGGGATTTACTGCTGCCAGTCGAGTCATTAGGTGCTCTTTTTGCTGCTTAAAGAGATATGCAACGCGCTTTTTTTTGCTTTTACCATCCCCCCGTGACTCGACCTATCTTGTGTTCAGGTGTGTTATGATCCCTCTTGCCTTCTTACTTCTGGCACAGGCAGCGTGTGGCTGCCTGCACACGCAACAGTTCAACCCTGTACAGTCAATCCTCAGAGGCATTTGTTTATACTAGCTTGTGTGTGTATGACAGAAGAAATGAGCAGAAGGTCACGGCTTGCAAACATAGCCGCCGCAGGGCGTAGACAATGTCCTCCAGAGTCAACACATAGATCCGGTTTTGGGGAAGGGCTACGTGACTTTTTGTATGCAAAATTGCCATACAAGACGACAGTTCCATTTCCGCATTCGTTGCCTCGCTTCACGCAAATGCATGCATCATGGCCACCATTCCTTGGGTCTAAGCCGGCAGCGCCATGTACATGCGCGGAGACTCTTGTTCTCCTTGTGAAGGGTTTGTGTTCCTGCACTACGGAGCATTAGACGGGCTTAAAATGCAAACGAGGAGTAGAAAAGGAGGAGTTCATATGGTATTTGAGGCAATCTTCTAGTCCTTGAGAGATGTACTGATGACGCCTTATCACATGATGAGCTGCAGAGGGGCGCTATTTGGCGTGTAGGTATTCCTGTGTACATTGCAATACCAACAAATCCTCCACTGCTTGTGTAATCTTTCGCTACTCCTTCACTTTATTTGCATTGCTGTCCTTGTATTATTGCAGGCTGAGAACGAGCGGTAACTTTAGCGGCTCGAAATGGCAGGTACTGCGTCGCAAGCACAGTGTCTTCCTTGCTAGGAACCTCTAAACGCGCCGCTCTCTGCACTTGAATCGCTGTTGTAAACGTGTGCAAAAATAGGTCAATGCGTGGTGCTACACACAGTAGCAGAAGGACATCAACACGTAGAAATACGTGCGCTTCCACAAGTACGTGTATCAGCTGAGTTACGTGCAGATAAGTAGACAGCAGTTTTCTGGGTGCGTTGCAGGAAAGTACAGCGGGGTGCATCCTGAGTCCGCCTCAGTGCGGGCGACGACTCCCTTCGAAGGACAAAAGCCGGGGACTTCTGGTGAGGCAAGCCGGCAGCTCGGCTTGTCAGCTTAGTTTCAGAGCAAGTGCATAAATAGGAGTGTCGCGTTGTTACTGTACAGAGAGTCTCCGTGTCTTTTGAGGATATCGCCATACGGGACTCTACGTGCGCCTCTTAATGTTTCTTCAGGACTTCGTAAGAAGACTCGCGAGTTCATGCAGCCCGGGTACCTCTCCAACTACGTACAGGTTAGCGTGCTTCTCCTAAGGGGTCAACAACTGCTGTGTTGTCTCTGTCTGCCAATAATTTGAAACCTTTCAGCGATGGGCGCTTCTCTGTTGTCGAGCTCTTGCAGTGCCTTCTGAGTAACTAGTGGCTTAGAAAAGTGATTCTAAGGAGGCTGTTGTAGTGCACGAACAAAATCGACAACTCCACTGTACACTGCAAACCTGTAATTCGTAGCGCCATCGTGAAATATATCTTCCTAGGGATCCTGCTTGGGGCCACCCCGTAAAGCATGCGAGTACACGCGTTCTTCTGAAATTCTGTATGGCTCTTCTTTTTGAAGCAGACGAATACATATATATATGTATCGATATGCCCGTCTTCGTGCATGTTTCGTGCATGCCTCTCCACCTTCGCAAGTGTGTCTTTGCCTATCGCCGTGCCTTTTCACCCGTGAAGCTGGCCCTCCATGCGCGCCTGTGTAAGGTGCTCCCCCGTACGAGGACAACTTTGTGCTACATACTGGGAGCTAGGTGTGGGACGCGTTTGTTCAGGCTGTGTTTGACTGCCTCCCGGAGTCTGAGGTGAGGGGGGGCACCATGCTGGTGGCAGGGGACGGTCGCTATTTCTGCGAAGCTGCCATCAAAAAGATTGTCTCCATTGCAGCAGGAAACGGAGTTGGCAGGGTTTGGATTGGTAAGTTTTTGACCATGGCCCACACGGGCCCCACACACTCTATGTGATCGCTGCTTTATGCCTCGGCGCAGGCTTGCCGCCTTGAATTTCAGGCTCTTCCGCGTAGAGCCTAAAATTCGTCACGACACTTCAGGCGGAGGGGAAATGACACATCCAGAATGCTGGACTTCCCATCTTAATCCATGGATGCACGATTCGGATGGAATTGTGTGTGCAGCGAAGGACGGGCTGGCCACCACTCCTGCCTGCAGTGCCATTTTGCGGCTACGAGAAAAAAGCGTTGCCTTTGGTGGCTTCATCCTCACGGCTTCCCACAACCCCGGCGGGATCGACGCTGACTTTGGAGTGAAGTACAACACTGGAAATGGAGGTCAGAACTTTGGCTGGGGCTAGAGCTTCAGCGCAGGCTGCCGTAGTTAATATCGAAAGTATACTAAAAGTTTCATGGCTCGATGTAGGGCCAAGGAGGTGGGGTGCCGTCTGGGCATGTACTGCCATGCCATGTAGGGGAGACGACCCCGTCAGCCGAGACTGGATGCAGCGCCGGAGTTCTCTCCTTGACCAGGGCTTTTGAGAAGAAGGGGTTAGGATGCAGGATAGGAATCTGTGTGGCCTGGTGTCTGTGCAGCCCCCGCGCTGGAGAGCTTGACCAATATGATTTATGAAAGGACAAAGACCGTTCAAGAGATAAAGCACGTAAAGCTGCTGGACTTTGACCTGGACACCTACGGGATAAAGGTGCTCATTAAGGATCAGTTTATTGTAAGCGGTTATCACAGCAGCCCAAAGTCAGAACTACCAAGCGCTGCTCGAATATTTGCTGGATTCTGAGATGCTGATGTAGCACGCTTTGGCTGTTACCTTGGCATACTTCCAAGTAGTGTTCTGCACCCAGGATCCCACAGATCTGAATTCCCATGCATGCCTTCTATGACGGCATCCGTAGATATCTGTACCGCTACTGAATATATAGTCCTGCTTGCGCAAGGGGCGACCTGTTGGACGCAGGCTGAGGTCATTGACGGTACTGAGGACTGGCTGCATCTCATGAAGGCAGTTTTCCACTTCCCATCAATCCGGCGTTTGATCCAGTCTCCCTCCTTCTCCTTCGTCTTCGATGGGATGCACGGCGTAGCGGGGCCCACTGCTGAAAGGCTCTTTGTGCAGGAACTGGGAGCAGATTCAATGAGCCTACGGGCCTGTAATCCCCTCGTAAGCTGCCAAAAACCGCTGACGACACTTTGCGTGCGCACGCAGATGTGTGTATCGCCAATGTTGCGCGCTTCACGCCCCTGCAGATAAGCTCCTTACCTCAATGCAATGAATTCATGTGTGCAATTGCACACCCAACGCCGCTGCATACTAAAACCCCCAAGGCGTGCAAGCGCTGGTAACTGCCTTCATGGTGCGTGGGACGCGCTGCAGCCCGACTTTGGGGGTCACCACCCCGACCCAAATTTGGTATACGCAAAGGAATTGGTGGACATGATGAAGTTTTTTAATCCGGAGCAAGTAGATAGCAACACGCCACTCTTTGGTGCTGCGGCGGACGGAGATTGTGATAGGAATATGATCCTAGGTAAGTCTCGGCCCGTCTGAAGCCGTTGCACTTGCATGGGCCCTAAGCAGCAGCTGGCATCATGCTCTTAAGGTTATTATGGGCTCCTCCGCCTTCCGTTCTGGCCGTCTACAGCTACATAGGCAAAAAAGATCTTTGGCTCTGCGATATAAGAATGATCATCGGATACAGCTAAGTTGTCTGCGTCGGAGTTGCATGCTCTGTAGCTCTTTGCCCTAAACGCCCCCTTTTTTCTGCGTGAAGGCCGCGGCTTCTTTGTAACCCCCAGTGACTCCGTGGCTATCATTGCTCAATACGCGGAGAAGGTCATTCCTTTTTTCATGAAGAACAAAGACGGGACTGGCGGTCTCAAAGGATTGGCGAGGTCCATGCCGACATCTATGGCCTTGGACAGCGTTGCTAAAAAGCTCGGTAAGCTAGTAAGAAGGACATACGAGCGTTAAACGTTTTATTCGAAAATTGGAGCTCGAGGTTGCATTAAAGCTGGTCCTCTTGACGTTTCCGGCTATTTTTCAGAGATCGTGTGTCGCTGAGAGATGTTTCTGTACAGCACTCCACGGCCGTTTAGTGCAGCGCAAGTGCTTGCACCGTTGCCCTCTGTCCTTTTTCCTTTTACAGGCAAGGACGTCTACGAAACTCCCACCGGGTGGAAGTACTTCACAAATCTAATGGATGCAGGCCGTCTGTCCATCTGTGGAGAGGAGTCATTTGGCACAGGGTCTATGCACGTGAGGGAAAAGGACGGTTTATGGGCCGTTCTGTGTTGGCTTTCTATCCTTGCGTACCGCAATGGGCTAATGGATAATGTGGAGGAGGAGCTGGAAATGCAGAAACGGGGCGAGACACCTGCGATTCCTTCACCAGAGAAGATTGAAAACTTTGTCGGAGTGCAGCAGATCGTGGAGGAGTTCTGGAAAGATTTTGGAAGAAACTACTACATGAGGTACACCGCATTGTATTAAGGTTCTAGTTGATGCCTTCGTATTTCCAGATTTACGCCTAAGACCTTTATCTATCGCTTGCTTAGTCTAATCAAATTATTTAGCTACCTAAGATGTTTCAGTACACCAATGCCCCCTGCTATAATATACTAAGAGCAAGCAAAACGCATCTTGCACGTTCTTCCCCGCAGATACGATTATGAAAACAAAAGTAGCAGCTCTGCAAGTCAAATGATGTCGATGCTGAAGTCTTTGACTTCTGCGTCTCAAGAAGATTTGAAGAAGCACATTAAGGCCACAGTCCCCAAGGAGCTGAGGGGAAAGCTCCAAGCCGAAAAGATTGATGTGTTTAAATACACTGATCCTATTGATGGATCCGTTGCTGATGACCAAGGAATTAGATTGTATTTCCCCAAAGGCAGAGCGATTTGGAGGCTTTCAGGTAAAATAGGAAGACCAGAAGATCGCAGCTGTGTTCACATAGTTGTTTATCCACAGTAGGTGTTCAAATGTCTACGGTCAATCATCCATGAATACTCGTTTATGTCTTGACGAAAGCTCATGCAAAATAGAAATACACATTCTCATATCGGTGTCGATTTCCGCTCTCCGATCGCTCCAACGTTGTCTATACACATTGGGCTCTCGTTCCGCCCTTGTGTTTGAAACTGTGCTCGCCTCGCAGGCACCGGCAGTAGCGGCGCGACTATTCGAATGTATTTTGAGCTGGTGGAGGATCGTCCTGACTACCTTCTCAAGAATCCAAAGGATATACTGGCTGATTTGATTGCATATGCCATTGCGTTCTGCAAAATAAAAGAATATGTCGGCACCGACATCCCCACTGTTATTACCTAAGCAAATTTCCTGTCACACCTAGAACAGAACCAGCACAGTCATGCATGCCTTTGCTTCTGCATACCTGTTTTACTGTTGCTCGCACTGTCGCATAGCGCGCGTTGAGGACTACATGAAGCCACAGACTAGGAGATGCCCTTTTCTGGTATAAAGCCACGAGGAGAAGTCGAATGCGGGCTTCCGCCTGGCATTGCTGCTTTGCAGTAGTCCGTTTTCCGATATACTCACGCGATGCCACTTCCGTAAATTGGCAGATGTAGAATGGCGCTAGGAATTTAATTTCGTGACGTGGATACTCCCGACGTCTCTTGCGTACATAGTTCTGTTTGTTTCCCAGATTAGACTTTTTTGTACATTTAACGGAAGCTTCTGCACGCATTTAGCTGGCTAGATATCCATACGAACATACCTAGATTGGGCTTATTTGGCTGTGAAAGCCCCACAGGTGTGACTGCAGTCACCACCAGAGCCTCACTGTAAAGCTACGTCATACCACATCGGAACAGAAGTGTACAAGTAGCCCTGTCCATGCCAACATGCTCTCCAGAACAGTGCTACTAGCGTGCATCGCCACCCAAACAATGCAACTAGTTCTAAACAAGCACTTTTCGGATTGAAGCTTAGTGGTTCACTTATAGGGATGGACAAGTGAGATGTTGGGAGAAAACTTGCACCTACTCAGTAACAAAAAGCCTCCGCTTTATGCAGAAGCCGCTAGATGCGTTTGAAGAATGCAACTTGCTTGGCCCGCACCGTTACGTTAGCTCCAGGAATTGGTACTATTCACTCGATGCCATAACTGTGTGATCTGCAACTTCCTTCTGTTGATGACCTCAAACGCCAGATTGCTAAAGTGCACATATGGTGGGTAGCGGCATGTGCTTGTGGTTCGAATAGAGACAGGAGTAGCTCCAGCTACCTGAGGCTGCCCTACCAACCGTGTGGCATGTGTTAGCATGTGTGGCTTCACGGTACACCCAGAGCAGAGGGACGTGTGCATCATAGAATATTTAGACTACGATGTGGCAGCACTGGGTCTTACTGTCCATGGGATGGAGTACGAGGGCCTGAACTTTGAACATGCGAAGGTCATTGATGAATCTGAGTTTCGTGAGGATGGCTACTACTGAGAGCTGAGTCAGTAGGAGAAAGTGGCTCCACGCCAGCAGGTTTTAAAAATCTTTCACTTTACGGGCAGTATGCAGTCTGTATGCACTGCTTCACGCAGGAAAAAGGACTGTTATGCGCGTGCCTCTGGCGCTGAAGGACAGCATGCATAGCAGTGGAACATTAGTGAACGGGCGAGACATTGAGCGATCAAACACTTACATAGCCAACTAACAATACATGTACGGAGCGGAAGATGGGGAAAGGCGCGCAAACAGTCGAGTTCAAGGAAAAGTTGGTGCTGCAGTTCTGCAGTCCACCGGCACACACTCTGTAGAGGTCCAAGTTCCAGAGGCTGCGCGGATGAAATCGGTAATAACTCTGTCTTAAGCTACTAAATCAGATACTAACGCTCTGAACTTTACTGGATGGGTGATGTTTACGGGGGATAAAGCCCAAGTCTGGGGGACTCGGTCGCTGGGCGCTAAGCGCCAGTTCTGCGGAAATCGTTTCTGGCATTGAAACGCGGTGTTAAAATCCCTCATTCTCGCGATTCTTCGTCGAATCAGCATTGGCATTCTGAAGTTACATACTTTGGGATATTTTTATTACGAGAGACACTGCAGAGTGCCCTTTCATCTGCTACCGCACTTGCCAGCCAGTGTGATCATTGCTGCCCCCCTGACACCAATTAACTCTACCAGAAACCTGGAACAAATCAACCGCATAACCAGCCGCGTCATGCTAAGGAATGAGGAATTTGCCGCTCTGCCGAAGAGCTAAATTTAAGCATGACATATAGCCACGTACCTCCTTGACTGTCCCCTTGGGCATCTGACGGACTAAGCCTTCCATTCCAGATGATTTTGCATGGGTCCCCTCACACGGGATTCCTCCCGCGGCTTCATACGGAAGGTAGCAATAGCGGATCTTTTTCAGTTAGAAGGACTCGACTGAGCCCGCCAGGCCTGGGCAGCTGCGGCTCTACGACCACCAGTTCGTCTAGTGAATTTATGGTTGTTTCGCGCCATTCTCATCATTCAAGAGAAGCTTCCAGACGATGGCGTTGGCGATTCTGCCAGATTCCGAGCAGAATTACGAATTGGCAATCTTCGTGGCGCTCTTGCGCCCTATTCCTCCTCCTAATGATATGCATTTTGACGCAAATATTCATCTTTTTCCAAGTCACACGCAATGCACACGCGTACCTAGTATCCAGGCCGGTACTTAAGGGTCCAGGGCCCCTCGGGCAGGAAATAGGTGGTAAGTGGATGATCCATACTATCCAGCTATGCCCCTCTTGTTCATTTAATACCTGTAAAGCCGTACTGTGGGATCTTGTACATCGTACCTGTTCACCCTTTTACCCTTCTTTGTTTACTTTTTGTGACTCCACGTCCACGGTAGCGCTGTTTCCCTACTTGTATTTACTTCACCAGAAAAAAGCCTTACAACAGCCGACCTCCGAGTATTAGCAGAAGAGTATGCAGGAACGGATAAGAAGCCCCCCTATGTCGGATCAAGCACTTTCTTAAAAGGACTCCGCCCCAAGAGCCGTGGCTGGTTTAATTCTCTGGCGGTCTTTCCTGGATGCAGCAGTGAAGCGCTGCACGGGCAGCTGGGAGTAACAGCCGAAGGAAAGTTTCTTTGGACGCCAGCGGATATGCCCGGCCCCATAGACGCCCCTTCAGTACGGATCTTCTCTTCGAACTCTTGCCGTCTTTCGTTTTGCGTTTGTACCTTTTATTCTGTTCTCTTCCTTTCATTGTGCTTCTCACATTTCAATTTTCGCACGCACTTTGGGGAAATATGTTCTGAAGGTGTCTAGAAGGAAGTTTTGCTTTATGATCAGGTAAACAAGACGGAGGAACTAAAAAGTGGGGGAGGCTTTTACTTGAAGCTTTCAGACGCCCTGCCACTAGATCGGCATCCACCAGACAACCGGTAAAACACAGCCGCAGCCTTCTTGCTTGGTGTCCTCGTTTGCTGCGCATTCCTACCTTTTAATGACTCTCACAATGGGTTCTGCAGCGACCCCTCAAAACAAAAAAGGCCTTTTGGAGCCTCAATAGCTTTCCTTGGATTCGCCTCTTTGTATGCTCTCCAGGATCCATTAAGCACACCACTGTGCTGTGCTGTGCTGTGTGTGTGTTTTTGCTCTCTGCAATTGTTTCAGAGCTCCTGCGTGCAAAAACGTGGATTACAATTTGCAGGAACTCAGCGACAACTTGGACGTGGCGATTGTCATTACGTACCACAACGAGCCCATGTCCACTCTCCTACGATCTGTGCATTCGATCCTTAACTTCACACCTCCTCCTCTCGTGCGAGAAATCATCTTGGTGGATGACTTTTCTAACACCACAGCACTGCTTCCAGGCAACGAAGTGGAACAATATCTTCCTTATCTTCCGAAAGTCAGGCTGGTAAGGAGTAAAGAAGCGAGCTGCGCTGCAGGTCCTCTTGCCGCATCGCGGCCTCACGTGCGCAATTAAGTACAACCCAGCCGCTGGCATATGCCGGTCTGGCCATGGAAAACAAACAGCGTATTCTTTCTGCTCTCTGAAGCAACCATGACAGGAGTCTGCGCTTGCGACGCAGATTTTTTTTCAGCTGCCTGCACGGGCCTTGATGCACTCTCAAAGTATCCCCCTCAAGCTAGTTTTCTGCTTCCAGGCAGACATCTGCTTTTCTGGGCTGCCGGTCTCGCGGTGCTGTCTGAGTGCCGCAGATTCGAATGGAACAGAGGAGCGGCATAGTGCCTGCAAGAATGCGGGGGATAAGATCTGCTAAAGCGCCTGTCGTTGTAATCTTGGACAGCCATATCGAAGTCAATGAAGGATGGCTGGAGCCGCAGCTACTTAGAATACAGGAATCGCCAAAGTCGTTTGTATTTCCTCAAACGCTGTCGATCGTCGCAACCAGCTTTGATTATACCAAAGACTCGGGCATTGGGTGAGAGGTAGAGGTCAAGAAATAGGAGCAATTGAAGCGGGGAAATGAGCAGGGTGGGGGGATTCAACGTGAACCTGAGAGGGCATGTGGGATGCTTGTTCTCTGATAGCTGTCGGCATTTATTGCTACGGGGGAGGGGAGAGCACTTGAGGGAGATGATTGAAATACTGGCTCTGCAAATTCGCTAAAACTAGCTCCAGCCAGAGCAGATACACTGATGCTTCCTTCGTTGACGACTTGCGTGAGGCGACAGTGCGAAATACATGCAAGGCTGGAGGTAGCCGAACGGTGGAGATGCGCTTCCGGACTTGTGGGCTGTTTATTAGTATAGCCTATAGACCCTTTTGTTGTTCATTCATATGATTCCTGTCCAAGTGAATCACTCATTCTTGTGGCTTTTGCCGTTTATTGTGCAAAGTCCCAACTAGAGAAAGAACCTTCATGGTAGCACTTTCCGTCGTATTGTATCCTGGTGTCTGCCTTGTTGGTTTGTAGGTGCTTCGTGTCCTTTGATTGGAACGTCCAGGAAAAGTCTCAAGTTGCAGGGTTTTGGGGAAGTACAAGTGCAATGCCGTCTCCCATGCACGGAGGAGGCCTTTTGGCTTTCAGAAAAGACACGTTCTTTGAAATCGGAGGGTGAGGCAGACAAGTTTAAGCATTCTTCCTAGGCCCTTGAACGGACTTATAGCCAATGAGAAGTAAACGTGAACCAGCAAAATAGATGAAATCTTTTATTAGTTTAGGCAAAGCACCGCCTGATGGTGACTCCTAGATTTCTAGACTCTGAAACAACTAGGTACTGAAATACAGTTCGCCCGCGTAACCGACCTGTTTGGTGACTTTATGAAGCACGCAACACGCGAAGGCCTCCACATACAGGATTCGGGTGTCAGGGGTTGCGATAGTTGAGAAACGATCTGATGTGGTCTTAGTTAGTGGGGGAGAGTTGCTCTGAGGTCAAGATTGTAGATTGCCTGTTGCAGCTATGATGTGCCGGGGATTGCATATGTGTCAAGCTGAGGGCGTTACCTCATTGGGGATAGGGATGAGCGGTGGTTCGCCGTTGAGGATTGGGCTATAGTGTCAACTATTTGAACTGATTCAGGTACGACGAGGGCTTCAGCATGTGGGGGGCCGAAAACGTGGAGTTCAGTTTTAGAATCTGGATGTGCGGCGCAAAACTTGAATGCGCGCCTTGTGCCAACGTATATCACATATTTAGATCTGTGAGACGCATCCTTCATTACAGCAAGCATAGATCCTTCTTCATCTAGCAGCCAAAGCGGAAGAAGCGGATCACTTAGAAAACGGACACATTGCTAAAGTGCTTGCATGCTTCATCAGCACCCACTATAGTACTAAAGTGGCTACGCTGGTTCCGCTAGTCCCTACCTTTTAGAAAAGATATTCTGCTCTCCTGATGCAAGGGGCCCCGCGCACTTCTCTCTTTTCTGCTTCCACGTTATTTCATGATTTTGACTCTCCATGTTCGCGATGGGTGTGCTAACTTTCAAAATTGAGGGCCAGCGAGGGTAGGGGGTCACGATACATGGTGGGAGCTTTGCATTTTGAATGCCTCATTTGTCGCTTCTGCCTTGCTCTTTCAGGGAGGTACCGGCTACCACGTGCCAGCTGGGAGTGTTTGGAGGAACAGAATGCGAACGGCTCAGCTTTGGATGGGCGACTACCTTCCTTTGGCCGCAGCATTCAATTCTTTTCATTTGTCGCACTCTGAACCGCTACTGGCAGACACTTCCAAGGTGCAGAGGGAGAGCCTTTCCGTTTCTAGTTTTCGTATTTGTTCAAAGGTCCATTTATGAGGGGCTGCAATTTGTATAGCGCTTCATTCCTAGTGATTGCAGTGCACTGTACCGCAGCTGGCTATTAGGACGGAGGTGATATCCGTGAATCGAAATTCCTGCTACCCTGCTGCTGACCCCATGAATGTAGAAGCTTGGGATGCGCTTTCGCCTTCGAATTGCTTACTTTCTTGACGTTCCCTTGCGGGGTCGCCTAGATTTGAAAGCCTAGCCCTGCCTGTCACCACCTATCGCCGGCCTTGCCTCAGGTGTCTCTACCTCTGTTCGCCTCTACCTCTCTTGCACGGTTCTGTTTGCTTTTCCGCGAGGCGGCCCTCAGATGCTGAAGCTGAAGGAGAAGCTCCAGTGCAAAGACATACATTGGTTTCTCAAGGAGGTGGATCCTAACCACGAGTTCAGGGACCTAAACACAGCTCTTTCCGGGATAGGAGACGTAAGAAGTGTGTACCGTCCAAATATCTGTTTGGATGCTTTAGGGGAGACCGACGTAGGGAACACTGTGGGTCTCTATCAGTGCCACGGACAACTAGGCAACCAAGGATTTATGCTCATCAAGTAAGCCACCACGATTCCTGCTGCGGGAGAGTGCTCCTAGTAAGGATTCTGCTGAGGGGCGCAGCCGCAAACAGGGCAGTCGTCCGTAGCCTGTGGCATTCTGTAGATTTGGACACGGCTCGAAGGGGGCATGTTCTTAGAAAGCACCCATAGAAAACAGACACAGAAGAAGGGCTTATGCCCCCGCAACTCGCTTGAAGCTGCGAATGCTGAGAATCCCGCAGTACGCCAGTCAGCATTCACGGACTGAGTGAGGAGATCGATGCTGCCCGCATCCCTGACTTTCCCAGGGGTTCCACCGCGGCACCCCCTCTGCGTGGCATTTGAAGCTGTCGCATGCACCTCCCTACCCGCTTGCTGTGTGTGTGGCCTGCTTGGATCACGCTGTTGCGTCGTTGTCTCGCAGCGAGTCCAAGCAGCTGCGGTTCATCGGTACAGGCAAGGTCAGTCGGAGCCGTCTCTGCATGAAGCCGCCGGGGGTATTCGAAAAGTGCACGAAGCAGCAGTTGGTAGGGCACATGGCTTTCGATGCGGCGGAAGGGAGCATTCGATGGACGGGACAGGGGCCTTACGAAGACCACTGCTTGGGGCTTGCTGAAGATGAAGCGTTGGTACGTTTTTGTGCATGGCACCCAATGCCGTCACCTGGCCTGTCTCGGTATTTCTGACTGCGCGAATGCCTGCCCTCCTTGCATTCCTTGCATTCCTTGCTTCCCTGCAGCGCGTGTCTGTGTGTATGTATGTATGTATGTATGTGTCTGTATGTATGTGTCTGTATGTGTGTATGTATGTGTCTGTATGTATGTGTCTGTATGTGTCTGTATGTGTCTGTATGTGTCTGTATGTATGTGTGTCTGTATGTGTCTGTATGTGTGTATGTATGTGTCTGTATGTGTGTATGTATATGTATATGTAGATATATATATGTATGTATATATATATATATGTATGTATATATATATGTACATATATAGATATGTATATATATAGATATGTGTGTACGTGTGTGCCTGGTGGCTCTCAGGGAAAGTGGGTGTTAACGTGGAGCCGCTGCACAGCGGGAGACGCGCGTCAGCAGTGGGCGTGGCCGCCCTTTCCTTCTCCCCTGTATTTCCCTAAGCAGCTGACAGAAGGCTACGAGGCCTACAAGGCCCTTGAGGCCTGGAGAGAGCAGGCAGTGGAAATACGCAGCAAAAAAGACACGAACTACTGTCTGGATGCACTCCAGCAGCGGTACGCGGGATCTCCCCTTTCGGTCTTCTGGTGCCACGGAGAACTCGGCACGCAAGGCTTCACCTTCATAGCGTAAGCCCCACGCCTTCGCCCCCCTTCCGCCCCCCGAGTTAAACAGCTTAACCTCTCCCCCCCTCCCCCCGGCTAAAGACGATGCAACTCAGGCACAAAGGAAACTGAACTGCGCCTCCCGAGACACGGTTGCCCTTGTCTTGCAGAGAGAGCCCTCTTTTTCTCCCCAACCCGCGGCGGGCAGGCATGCGTGTGTGCATGCGTGTTCCAAGAGGGCTTGGCTTACGCGGCTGCGGCGCTGCCTTTGTGCCTCAGGGAAAGAAGTTTGCTGCTGGCTCATGCAAGGGGGACGTACGGGACACCCCTGCTCTGCGTGGGACCGCCAAAGAATCTTTATTCTTGCTCTGACACTGCACGCGCGAAGGGAGTTTCCTTCAGTTCCGACGGACGAATCCTGTGGAGGCAAGCAAACGGAAGCGACGCGGCAGAAACACTTTGTCTTACGGTCCTTAAAGACCCCACCACGCCGATTTCGAAGGTAGGAGGCCGCTGTTACGCAGCGCAGTCCAGCATGCGTGCACTGGCGAAGCGAGCAGGAGGGGTGTCTGTTTTGAGGCATCAGGCTCGCCCTTCGGGTTTAGGGATGGGAATGAAGGCTGCTTGTCTCCCATGAGTGAAGCGCGCGCGAGTGAACCGCAGCCCTCCTGTTGGCTGAAGGACAGACACATACGAAAACGTGCAACGATGAATCTGTCTGGGGTGTCCACTAAGCAGTAGGACGCCATGTTTGCTGTGCTTGCACACGTTTCCTCTGACGGGGTTCGTGTTTTTCTCGGTAGCCGTGCGGGTTGGGCTGAGAGATTTGGACGCTAGAAGGGGCAGTCTGAAGTGGTCAGCCTCTTGCATTCTCGCGAAAACGGGATTCCCGTGCATGCAGCTCGAACTTTTGAAGGGGAACGGATGCAACGACGGAGGCAGTCAAGAGGAACCGCAACACCTTGCGCGCTGCTACGCACTAGCTGGGCTCTGAGCGTGCAAGTGCTGTGCCCGCGGTTTCAGTTTTTCGATGAAGCGCTTGCAAGCAAGAGGCAGAACACAACGACTCATACGCGTTGATCAACTTCTCTCTCTGTGCGTTTGCGTGCAGCGCACAATCGTGTTCGAGTCCTGCCGCCCCGGAGACTTGGCGCAGCTTTGGGAAATAAAGAATCCCCTGCCGTCGGCGAAAATGAAGGAGAAAGGTGAACAGAATGGATAGAGGCAGCAAGCGAGAGCCCTCTTCCTTCTCCATATGTCAAAAATTCAAAGGGGACCTAGAGTGATGTAGGACTCTGCTATACTTTTTATTGGCGGAAAGCAATAAGGAAAGCCAGGACACAGGGAGAGCAGCCTCGATGTCGCTTTTGCTGCCTAAGATACAGTTAGGCTTGCAGAATACACTTGTGACGCAGCCGACACCGAAACGAGTGGCATAGCCCAGGAGTAGGGAGTGTAGCTTTGCAGCCTGAGGGAGTGCAATGAATGCCTATGAGAAAGCACGCCATTGGCATTCACGTGCAAGGCCTGAAAGGCACCAATCTACAGAAAAATGCCCATCAGCTGCGGGGTTCGAACCCTCCCTCAACCGGTACGTGCCCTAGATTTCGAGCTTCCTCCAGTCATGCCGCATTGATCCCACGTCAAGGGGGTCTATTCGCACGCGGCACTTTGCGGCAGCCGCTTCGTTCTTTGGCGTGTATATATGTATATATCTTTTAAAACTGCTCGCCCCGAACGGATTTTGCAAGTTTTCGGGGTTACGCACGACGGTTCTGGGGCGGGCTGAGTATAGCCGCTACCACTGTTGCAACTTCCCGGCGCAGGAAGACGAAATCACGCAAAAGGCTAGTGATCGCCGTGAAGCCGCGAACGCAGTGGCCTCAGGTGAATTGGGAGGACAGCTAGTGCACTGACGCTCAGCGCGCGCGTTCTACGAGCGGTCTTTACATGGAGGCGCACGGCCGCGTGGCTGCATGCAACGTACGCGCACGCCAGTTCCTTCTAGAGGATAGAGCGAAGAGAGCAGCAACATCGAAACAACCAACAATCGACGCGGATAAAGCGCGGCTTGATGTGGCAGTGTTGCAGGAAATCCTCATTCGTCCTCAGGCGCATGGGGGTGGCGCTCGGGTGCAGTTTCATTGGGGTCTCTGGGTGGCTGTACCGCAAAAGAAACATACAGAAAGGGCGTTTAACGACTAGAAGGCATGAGCTGGCGCAGCCAGGGCAGTGTGTCCTCTCAAAAATGCAACAGAATCCCATCCAAGGGTAAGGGAGCAGGGACGTGGGAGGGAGAGGAAAAGGGATAGAACGCCACCGAGATAGATGAGGGAGGGGGGGGAAAAGGACAGACGAAGAGGCCTCTGATATATCAATGCGTCCTTAGGGGCCCAGCTACCAGCCCACGTAAACTGGGGGACCGCAACAATTAGCGCTCGACGTGTATATTTTCGTGTATACGTGATGGTGCGTACGTTGGGGGGGTTTCTGCACATGATGAGATTCTTGAAGAAGAAATTGCCGGAGAAGGCACCCGCTAAGCCGGAAGCAACCACTGCGCACCACTTCGGCCCGCTGAGGGCGAACTTCACTGGCAGAACGTGTTCAAAGACAACCCCCGTGCCCATTGGCTAAAACACAGCGCAGGCACAGTGCAATGACGGCGCCAACGTACAGCTCGCGTTGCGCATAAAACGAATGGAGAGCCGTGTACTCATTACGAAGTACAAAAGACGTACTCACAACCAGCGTCTGAAAAACCAGCTATGGGGACTGTACAGCTCATGCGCTAACCGCTCCCCTGGTGCGCAGGCTGTTAAAAAGGCAGTGGCTCAGTAGGCCCCCACCACACAACAAAATGCGCTTGATTTTCATAACCTTTTGCGGTGATAGAGTGGGAAGGGCAGGAAAGGCAGGCTTACCGGGGTGGGAAGCTCTGTTGCCGCAAGAAGCGGCCTGGCAAGTCGCTGCATGATAGACAGCGCGCACACACAGCCGATGAGGAAAAGCTGTTCAGCCACAGAATTTTAAAGGTAAGGCCACGCAACGCGAAGGGACAGCAAGTACGCCAAAACAAGGGCACAGACACCAAATGCAGACGCATGCAAACACGTGGAAACACTCGAGCGAAGGCGCACGCAACGAGAGCCCTAAAATTTGCCTCTTCGCCTGTACACCCTCCGTGCCTCAGCTCCCGGCCCCTGCTCTCTGCACTGCCATTTGCAAAGACTCTTTCAATTGCCGCTTATGCGCCAAAAGTTTTCCCTGAGAGGAGCTTCCGTCCAGAGCTTGCAAGAACCTGACTGCTGCTGCCGCGCTTTATCCCCATGCGGGCCCTGCTTGAGCGTCATGTGGGTCCTTTTGATTCTTTGAATCATATACGAGGGATGAGAATCACTTTCGTACAGCTAGAACGCGAGCCGAGCAAATCCAGTGTCTCGTAGCGGCAGCACACAGAGCTCACCAGGGCCATTGCAGAGGAAGGGGTGCCTCTTCGGCAGGATAAAGGGGTACGGTTTCCTTTCTAGCTCAAGAATGTCTGTTTCTTAGATTTGAACTCCGGACCTAGGGGCCCAGGACCAGGGGTCAGTGCTCGGCACTGCTCGCCAGAGAGAGGGGCTGGCTGCTGCATGCAAAAAATAGTTGCGCCTCTCGCCTGCGTGCAGAGAGCGAAGCGCAGAGCGTGGTTGCAGCGTGAGGACATGATCAGAATGCGTAATGAGTACATAAATTCGAATCAGGCAGATGGCCCGAACGCTAAAAGTCAGTCTTCTTGGGCGTTTCAACATGCACAGGTTCATGTGTGAAAGATGGGGTTTAGGGTTTTTTAGGTTGACTGGTTGCAGGGGAGACGCAAGTGCGTTTCCTCTTCGCTGGAATTGAGCACATGTGGACTGCCTAAAGGCTGGGAGAGAAGGGCGCCCTAGGGCTTTATTTGTTGCTGCAACTTTTCCGACGGAGTTTAGCTCCTGGTAAAGAGGGCAGACTCAGCTCCCCAAACCAAAGCGCGCACCGCCGAGGTTCTTTCTTTCGCTTTAGCGACAGAAGTGTGCAGCCCGGTGCTAATGAGCTGAGCCAAGCTCTGCCGCTTCCCCGTTTCTCTTGACTCTATATATTTTGGGTTGAGCTGTTGCTAAGCCACGAGTATGCCTTCCCGTGCACTTTTTGGTGTTTGTGACGGTCTGCTAGAGCTGAAGGCGTGCTGCGAACTTCATTGCAGTGGTGCATCCTTTGCGTGGCGCGAAGAGCACTCTGCGTTTGCAACGCTCTGCGGGTACTGGGGCCTCCATAGAAAGGCTTTCTATAGCCAGCACCCATTACAGAGCTTAATAAAGCTGTCAATTAGTCGCTTCAATAGAGCTTTCTTCTCCCCGTGCCCTCACCTACCCTGGTCGCCGCATGAGGGGAGCGAGAGGCAGTGCTAGGGGATCAGCCGTTTTGCTACCTCCTCCACAAGCACACCCCCGGCATGCCTGCTCATACTGGTGCATATAGCAGCAGCCTATGGCGAACATACATACACACAATGCTGACCCTTGTTGCACTGCGTTAAATCTACTTTTCAATGAAATGCATATACGAAAGTTTATCAAGTAGTGGCCAGCGCTCTACTAGCTCTTGATTGCACATAACTACAGCGGTGGAATGTGCGAAAATATAGCCTGGCTATATACAGCCAAACTAATCTGGCGTTTTATTTTGCGCTGAGCTAGCTGTGCATATGGCTGTGTGCCTGACATTAGTCTGCAATTTCCTGCATTCCTGCGGTGCTTTTCCTCTTTCGTACACAGTGAGAAGGGTCTGCAGAGACTGCATTTATAGAGTCCTATGAGAAGTCTCTTACGTGTTTCTGTCGGTATCATGGCTGCCAGTTTGTGGCAGGAGAGCTGAAGGCAGCGGCGTTCGCGTTCTCCCGGCTGGTTCTGTACTCCTCAGATCTACGGTGTCCTAAAAGAAGGAGTCAATTGCACTTTGTGCATTCTCCTTTCTCCACATGCTGGGTCTGTGCCCGTTCCTGTAGCAGGCTTAGCTGCACTCAAGACTTGCTGCCACAGGATTGAACCTCAACAGAGGTTCAGTAGAGATTTCACAGAATGGTTTCTGTGCGCGTTGACCTTATTTATTGCAGTACTGCTACCTCGAAAAAGAAGACGCGATACTTTGTGCATGTGCACTAGAGGCTATGTGCAGCTAGCTGTGAATGTTTGGAGTGTCAAGAGGGTGCATGTAGGACGCGTGACCTACCTGTACTTCTCCTCTCATGTGGGGAGCTTTGGATGGCGCTGGCAGGGGAACGAGCGAACTTTCTTTTGAGGGTATTCGATAACACCCTATTAAGTTTGTACTAAAGCAAGACTTAATCCTCTACAAACGGAGACCTTTGATGGGACTAAACAGAGGGTTGACGTGCTTCTAGAAATAGACGCTTTCGTCGTTGGGAAAAGAGCTTGGTGGCTCTATCCTTGATTCCTTGTGCTGAACAGTGACCGTTTGGCGCTTTTTCGCAACAGCATGCTGAGTCCGATGCCCTTTCACGGCCCGAGTATTTCAACTATAAAAACCGCAGCAGCCCTACGCCCGACCATGCTCAACATGCAGCTTCACCCGGAGGTCCTCCACGGTGACTGGCTACAAGAAAGCAGGGACATGTTTCCGAAGGTAGAGCAGTCCTCTAGCTTTATGATGAAACCAGTGTCTCAGCCATCGTCCTGAAGTTTAAGGGTCTTAGGCTGCACAGTAAGGGGAGAAGGGATGCAACCAGCTGCACCTCCAGAGTGGGTGCGCGCGCGGTGCTCATTTGAGCCTGCGTGAGTCTACTGCGTGAAGACGTTTACGTGGATATTGTGAGTCAAGACATCCGAAGACTAGAGAGATAGGATATGTGAAGGTTGACAGCGCGTGACACTGGCGTTCTGCGAGCTCGCACTCGCTGGAAGATATTCCCTATTCACGAAGCTAAAGGCTAGTAGGGGTCGAGGGTGCCGCTTGTAGGGCTGTTCTAATTTGTTGTGCCGGCTCGCTGATGATACTTAGCCAACCTATGGATTTATTGCGAGTACGCGACGTCAGATGGTGGGCGTGAGCTTGTTGCCCTTCAAGGCAGAGCCGTCGGGCTGCATCCCGAACAAGGCCTCAAGGCGCGGGTGCCTCCATGGACTTCCAGGGGTATGGAGCATCGCCTCGAGAGGTGTGGCCGGAATGCGAGTCTTGAAGTATAACATAGTCTCTGTGCTGCTGCATGCAGTGTACGCTACAGGGGGTGCTCGTACAACAGTGCAGCCCTCATCAAACTACGCGCGTTGCAACTTATCAGTACTCTAGCCTAAAGCCCCGCCACGCGTTCCTGGACCTCAGGTGTGTGTGCAGAAAACTCGTGACCTTCAGCTGTACAGACATGCCGGAAACACATCTCTTTGCAACTGTGTTGGGCCCACAAGTCTTCGCTGGCGACGAGCAGACGCATGCCCCGCTGGTCGCCTTCCGTCGAATAAAAAAGGCTCCAAAAGCTGTCAGACGAATGCCAATATCATGATCGTCTGGCCAGTGCCACACCAGCCCGCGGGGGGCCCACCCTCCCGCGCGGGGGCCCCTCGCAACGAGGCCCCCAGGAAGGGGCCAGTCCCCCCTCGAGAGGCGCGTTGCACAGCTCTCCCTCCTTCTGGGAAGAATTTATTTGGTCTCAGCTGTTGTTTTCATCGTCGTGTTTAGTTTTGAAAGGGAAGACAAGCGACACTGAAGGGCGAGGAGCTGCTGGGGGTCTCCTGTCCGTACAGCCGAGGCTCTTGTTGCCTGTCCACAGGCTGCCCCCGATGGTTTGCGGCGTTGGCGCCTAGGGCTTCTTGTCTCTTCGCCGACCAAGCCAACGATCCCCTACAGCGCGGCAGTGCCTTGCGTCTGAAATGAAGTGGTTCTTGGCGCCGCTGCTGCTGCAGTGCGCAGCAGCAGCAGACACCACAGCTCCCAGGAGTCTGCGCAGCCCCTTCCAGACGCGTGTCTCCGTGGACGTGGCCTCTCTGAAGGCGCGCATGGCTCTCTGGGGGGTACGTCAGCCTGCTGCCTCCGACAGGCCTCGCACGCTCTCCCCGCTACAGCCACAGGATCTTCTGCAAACGCTGCTGCATGCTCAGAAAGAAAGCCCTTGAGCGCCTGCCGCCGTCGCTTTCCCAGGCTCCAGATGTGTGGCGCTATTCATGGTGGCAGAGGAGGCATCACCGCGAGGCCTCAAATGCTTAGTTTGCGGGCAGAACGCTTCCCAGCGTAACACGCTGGCGATGCTAACGCTGTCTAGCCAGGTTGTTGCCGCTGCTGCCGCTGCGAGAAACGAGTCTGTCTACCCCAGGGGCCCTGGGCTAAGGCGCTGCACATGCATGTGTGTGGGGGGGAATGGGGGAAAGGGGCGATTGCGATGCACTTGCGCCTTTTGTGGCGATGCCACTTTTCAAGGACTGCTGTTGCGCGTCTTGCGCTGTCTGCCCCTTCACGTGCAGCCGCCTCAGACGGCTCCGGAGATGCACGCCTTTGCTCTCCTCCACTTGAAGGCTGCAGAAGGGCCCCCCTTGCAACAGGCTGTGGACTACCGCGAGCGCATCTGCACAGCGGTGGAAAAGCAGCTGCAGCAGTGGGAGCAGCAGCACCTCTCCAGTCTCCTGCAGCAAGCGCCTCACCAGCGGCAGCAGGAGGCGCAAGAGCTACCGCTAGAAGAAATACGCGTCTTATGGGACTTACTTCAAACAGCAGCCGCAGCGGGCTGCTCTGGCACGCTACATCTGCAGCTTCAAACGGTTCGTGTAATCTGCCAAAGAGTGCCGCCAGCCTGCCACGCTCCTTCTTCTTCGTCTATCTGCCCTTCCGAGATCCGCCTCTAGGATGCCGGAAAAGGGTCTAGAGGGCTGCTGTCGACACTGCAGCTACTGCTGCTGATGATGCTGCTGCTGATGATGCTGCTACTGCTGCTGATGATGCTGCTGCTGATGATGCTGCTACTGCTGCTGATGCTGCTGTTGCTGCTGCTGATGCTGCTAGTTTAAAGCTGCTCTACTAAAGTGGCCGCTAGCGTGTCACGAGGCGCGTCGGGCATGCGCGGGTCCCTGCAACAGCCCCCAGGTGGCTGCTGTTAGGACATATTCGCTTCGTTCCTTTTATCCGCTTCTCTTTCGCTGTCTCTTGCCTGGACGATGTTGCTCCTGTGACGCCCCTTAGTCTCCTAGCCGCCACTACCGTACCACCGAAAAAGACGCGCAAGCTGCACAATGCAAAAATCAGCAGCAGGGAGCAGGGAAGGCGGGAGGGAGAAAGGGAGCTGGGCAGTAACAGCAGTAAGGGGCTGTGTGCCGAGAATGGAGATACAGAGGTGGCTGGCTGCCATAATTTGGCGGTTTTCTGAGTTTTCACAGGGAGGGAAGGCAAAGAAAAGGGAAAGAAAAGAAAAGGGAAAGAAAAGAAAAGGGAAAGAAAAGAAAAGGGAAAGATAAGGAAAGGGACGTGGGAGCTTAGATGCATTGGGTGCACACTGTGCAGGGAGCGCCGAAGGCAGCACCAGACGTAGCGTTGGAAGGCGGTGGGATGCAGTGGGGGGAGAGGAGATGCGTGGACAGTTGGGAACGTTTTGCTTCTGCTGCTGCCGCGTGTTACACTGCAGGGCTTAAGACCTCTCTTCGTGGAAGCTGTTAGCCGTCCCCTCCAGAAGACGGAGGCAGCGGCGGCGGCGCTGTGGGCAGCTGCGGCTGCTACTGCAGCGGCTGTGACTGCAGGGGAGTCAGCGAATGCAACGCTGGTGGCTGCAGCGCAAGTGCAGTTTGGAGTCAACGGCCAAATGGCGCAGCGGAAGGGCAAGCAGCTCGTGGAAAATTCGAGGCAGCTCCCTCCAGGTGAGCGGGGAGGCAGGGGGAGGGAAGGGGGAAGAGGAAGGGGGAACGAGGGGAGGCAGAGGGGCAGGAGAGGGCGGCAGCCGCCGTTGTCGCTGCAGAGACTTTCATGGGTGCTGAGGCCGTCCTGTTGTGTCTGCCGCTGCTGCTGCTGTTGCTCCCGCGCGTCTTGAACGCGACGTTTGGCCGTAAAGCTGCCAGTCGCTGGCAGGCTGAGGAGGGAGGGGGGAGAGCAGCGAGCAGAGCGCTTCCCCTTTCAACGCCTCGCGTGGACTCGCACTCTGTGATCGCTTTTGTGCCGCAGGTTCAGAAGCGGCTGCCCTATTGCTTTACGGGGGTCTGCCCCTGCTGGAGGATCCCCTTGCAGCGCTAGAGGAGGTGTACAGGCAGCTCCGCGCTGCCTTATCGTCAAGGGCACTCCCTGCACGCTCGCGAGCGGTGTCGCTGTTGCTAAGAGCCTTCTTTGCGTATGTCTTCAGGCAATTCAACAGAGAAACTCAGCAGGCAGGCAGACCGCCTGTCCGTCTGCCTGCCTGCCTGCCTGTCCGTCTGCTGGGTTTCTTTGTTGAGGGTGGGAACTGCTCCTTCTTGGTGCCTCCACCGTCCACGTTTTTGAATGTGTTGGCGCTGCTGCGCGCAGGGCCGCATCAGTCTCTCCCGTGACTCTCTCCTCGGCGGGAGCAGAAAACGCGCTTCTAGCCGCTGGAGTAGGAGTCTTGGCAGCAGAGCTCAACAGCTTCTCCGCCTTCTCAGGCCCCCTTCCCTCGGGTGTGCATGCGCACTTGGAAGCCGTTCTAGCAGCTGCGGAGGCTGGAGCCTTTGCCGCTGAAATCACATCCGGAGAAAAGGCGGTGAAGCTTTGCGGCCTGCTGGGGTGGAGCTTGCCGGAGGACGCACAGCTGCTGCTGCTGGTCAAAGCGAACCAAGGCGAGGATCAAACGGTCCGTAAACGCCTCATAGCAGACTCCTTCCGCTGCCCCACCTCCCCTTTTTGCCCCTCCTCAAGCCGACTGAATATCTGCGTTTTCTAGATCTCGGCAGCACAGAGAGCCTGTTGTCATAGACTTGTTTTTTTCTTCTCTCTCTCTCTGTCTCTGTGTCTCTCTCTTTCTCTCTTTCTCTCTTTGTTTCTCTTTCTCTCTCTCTTTCTCTCTGTCTCTCTCCCCGCTTCCCCCGCTTCCCCCGCTGAGTCTCTTGGGGGCCGTCCGGAGCGGCCTTTCACCTCCAAGTTTCAGCCTCCTGCACATAGACTTCCCTGCGAGTCTATCGCGAAAGCAGCAGTGCTCCCCCCCCGCACGGTTGGTGCAGCTTTGCAGCGAGCCACCTGGTTTCCCGTGGGGTTCTCTCTCCTTCCGACTGCAAGACCGTAGAGCCTCCCTCTTCTAAGCTGAACTGGCCAAAGATTTCTCTCTCTCTCTCTCTCTTTCTCCCGCAGGTGGGTTTCAGCCGTTCGAAGGACAACCCCTGTCTCTTCGTACCAGAAGAAACAGCGCTTAAAAGCTCCAGATCCGTGCAGTTTGCACTGCGCCACGGTGACCAGCAATTGCTGCTTTTTAAACCCACGAAAGCGGTGAGGCAACGCCTTCACGCTACTGGCCAGGGCAGCGTTGCTCTGGTTTAGATGTCTCCTACCAAGCCACAGTAAATCGTCAGGGATACAGAGTCTGCGCCTACATTTAGCCGCTTGTGTCTAGGCGTTTGAATCTACCTTGGGAGTCGAATTTCCCCAAACAGAGGACAGGGAGAGGGCCGCCCCTTATTCAAAGCGAATACTGTTGGGGTCTCTCTTCCTTCTGTCCTGGTTGGTCACGCATGAAGCACTCACAACCACCACTGCACAGTCCAGCAGCCTGTCTGCTCTGTGAAGCGCGCGTCTGTATCGAATCCATGGCTCTTTTCCCGCGACCTCTCATTAGACACATGCCTGCGTGGGTAGGGTCCAATCGACACGGCTACAGGGGGGGCAGCGTGCGGCGCGCTCAGTCGCCTTGTAGCTTCTCGTGTGTCCATACAGCGCGTTTGTGTGGCGAGTCAGGCGACCATATGCATGAGTCTCAAAAGTCATAGTAGACGCACTCCTAGGTTCGAAGCTAATCATGGATCTGTCCTTGTGAAACCGCATACATATCTGCACCCTTGGGGGTGTTGATGCATTTCTGGTGGTTTTGTTTGAAGGCGGGGAGGGCGAAGTGGATGTGACTACATAGTGTATACACGATTCCACGGTCTTGGCACTGCGTGCATCTCTTGCATCCAGGAAACGATAAAAAATCGTTTGCGCGTGTTGCTGCCCCTGCTGCAGGGGGACGCCTCAGAAACAGCAGCGGCGGCGTCCACAAGGTACTGGGGTGCCTCTCCAGTTCTTTCCGCCGATATCTCCCTGCAAACTTTAAGCACCAGAAACAAGCAAAAACAAAAGATTCCTGTGGGGCAGTTCTACAGCTGGCCCATCGAGGCACCGGCGGTTCTTCGTATAAAAGTCAAGGCAAGCAGCTGTGTGTATGTGTGTGTGTATGTGTGTGTGTGTGTGTATGTGTATATATGTGTGTCTGTGTATATATATGTGGTGTATATATATATATATATATATATATATATACATACATCCACACACACCTTCTACGCTATCTATCTGCTGGCTGTCGCCTATCTTCCCTCTAGGCTAACTATGTGGCCCCCTCTCTGCTTGGTATCCTCCGTGCCTCTCCTTGCACTTCGTGTTTGCGGCTTCTCTGCTCCCCTCTGCGGTTAATGCCGATCTGTCGCCTTTGTGTGGCCCCTCGCTGCTCTCCGTCGGCAGATCTTTCTTCTTGTATTCTCCTGTCTCTCCTCTTATTCCTTGTCCTCTGTCATTCGTAGTGTGTGCGTCTATACGTTTGCCTGCTCTGGCCCCCTAGAGGCCCCTGCTTGCCTCGCTGCTCCTGCCTCTCTCTCCTTTCCAGTTTCACAGCCTACCGCCTACAGCTTCCATTCCCTTGTTCGTGTGAATTCAGCTAACCAAGCCAGAGCTAGCTGGACGGCTTTCGCAGGTACGACCACGCCACTTCTGCCGCTCTTTAGCTCGGCCGGCTTTCGCAATTCTTTCGTGGCTGCCCCTGTTGCCATCCCGAGCGTCTTGCCGTATATACCTCTTGAGTCTTCGAACACCTTGTGCCTCCTGTGCGGGCTGCATGTATTTCTAGCGATCGCCTGTAGATCGGCTGGCTCCCGGCGCTGCCTGCTATTTGCCTTCTGGTGCTGTGGCTCGCTGCTTCCGTCTACCTCGTCGGACACGCACCGCCTCTTTTATGCTTCTTCGTCTTCCCCCCTTTCCCTACTTGCCTTCCTGCTGCTCGCACAGTCTTCTTGCCGCGCTTTGCGCAGTCTTCCCGCGTGTGTTCAGCCTTTATCTTTTATATTCTGTCCGTGCATCCTTTCTCTGCATATTGCTGTCTTCGCAGGCTGCAGTCCTTGCCACCCTCAGGAAGCCGACAGGCACCTTGGCTGCGGCCGTGCCTGACTTCACTCAGTGGCTCCTCACCAAGGGCACCAGGAATACTCTTGTGCTGGACCTTAAGATTGGAGACTCGGTAAGCCACACTGCTCGTCAGCGGCTAGCTGAAACTGCCCAGGAGCTAGCTGCCAAGCAGCGGAGTAGCCAGCTGCCCGCAGCGGGTTCGGGGGTGGGAAATAGGGCACGCCGAGCCAGAGCTTTTTTAGTGTCGTTCTCTTTGAAGTGCGGCTGTGAGCGGCACGCGAGAAGGTGGTTTATTTCTGTTACACTCACTGCACTTCTGCCCGTTGCTCCCTACATATCAATGCAACCCCTGTGTGTGGGGGGGGGACCTGTGACCCCGTCCCGTATGTCTTATTCTTGAGAACGCTGTGATTTGGTGTTTATTCGTACATAATAATCTGCGTGCAGGTATTTTTAATGCCTCTGAATAGATGTGTAGATGTCCATAAAGGTGCGTGTGTAACAGGCACCTCTCGATCCCCCGTTTGCCCATGTCCGTGTAGGATTGCCTTTCTCTGTCTGTCTGCGTGGTGGCAGGCGATGATTCTGCCCGTGTCTGGCATCTACAACTTTGAGCTGCTGCTCGCTCAAAGCGACCCCATACTAACACATAGGCAGTAAGGCTTCTTTCTGCTTTTCGAGGCCTATCGCAGGCCCCCAGCACGGCCGCTATAGAGGCTGTCTGGGGAGGCATACCCTCTTTACAAGGCGTCTAATGGGGTCGTTGTTGCAGCCTTGCGCAATCGTGTTAAGCGAGAAGACGAGCAGTCCAGAACCCATGGAGCCTGTCGGTGCATCGCTTTCGTGCGGGTGCTTCAGGCTGCTCTTTGCCGCCGAGTTAGCCTTCCCGGTACCTTTGAGACAACTGGAAATTACCGTGCCCTCTGGCAGCAGCGGCAGCGCTACTAGGAGCTATCCGATTCTCCCGGCAGAGATGCCCCTCCACGCGCTACCCCCGTTAGAGCACACATTTGAAGCCCCACCCAAGAGGGTAAGAGAAGAAATAGAAGCGGCTGCGCATCTACTCAGTAGCGAGTCAAGTCGGTTCGCAGTAGAGCAAAGAACCCCTTGGTTCGCTCTGTATCACAAAGCCACTCGACCGTTGATTCCAGCAAAATACCCAATTTCCAGTGGCTCTTTTCTGACGGCTAGCACCAAGAAGTCCAGCTTTGTACAGAGCGCACAGCAAGCATTTATTTTTTGTGCTATCGAACCCAGGCTCCCACTTGGCTCGCAGTTTCGTTTACGGTAGTGGGTGGCGGAATCCCTCTATTGGGTAAGATGTTTTGGCGGCAGCCTGTTGAGCATACCGAGAGACAGATGCTGAGGAAGGAGAGCAGTGGCAGGGTTTATTGCTAGGTGGTCGTGACGGCGAGGGAAAAGTGGATAGTTGCATTTAGGCACACAGATGAGAGAAAGAGGATGAAGTAGAGGGGTGACGTCTGGTCTCTCTCTGCGCCAGAGAAGATTGATGATGTGGGTAGAGCTGCGGAGTGCTCCTGTGCAGGTCTTTTGTTTGTTTGGTTCCGTGCGCTGAGAGCCAACATCGGGCTGCTGCGAAAAGAGGTTACGGATATCTCGTTTTTAGGGGCGCTCCTTTTTATAGTGAGATTGTACCAAAGCTGAAGTATGCGCATAAAGGAATGCAACAAATTGCATTCATGGGTGGATGAGATAGATAAGGAACCAACCCACTAGCTTCTGCATTCTTGCGGTTCCCATTATTTGTTGTTTGTTTGTGGTTGTGTGCTTTTAGGTATCACTTTTTGTCTACTTTCTATACTATCGTTGCTATTCTGTCTTCTTCACTGGCATTGCCCTTTCCTTCCTTCCTCTGGCGTTTTGCACCCACCAGGCGCTTTGTGTAGTAAGCAACCGGCGGAGAGGAGGCGATGAGAAGGGAAAGCCTCTGCAGGCTAACTAAAACAAGTTTTACATTTCGTAGCAGCACATACGCTGCTATGACTGACCTCAGCTCTCTGTTCATCAGGATTTGAAGGCAATTTGTCATCCTGTAGGCAAGGGAAGGGCATACCGAAGCATTTGGAAGCTGATTGAAATTTTCCTTATGAAAGGAAGGAAGTGATCCCACCAGAGCTGAAGAAGGATTTGCTTCTACCAGGGCGTATAATGTTCTTGATATCGTTATTCGTGGCTTGTTTCGGAAGTGAGGTAACGCTACAACAAACAGACTGCGCTGAATGCTACCAGTGCTGGATTCTTTTCTCCGTCATATTGTAATCCTCCGTCTAGCTATTGCTCGTTTACGCTCGCTTCCACTTCGTCGATTCTTGTCTGCTTGGTTATATACGGTGGTGTAACTCTACTGAGGAACGAATCCATGTACCATTGGTTTCACAGTGTGAAGCCCTCCCGCAGAAAGTAGGGCGACATGAGTTTCAATCGAGTGGTTCTATTAGACAGCCAACGAGACGCGAATAATTATGTATATCTCGATTTTGAATCAAGTGCAGCAAATAGTCTAGTAATTATCTACCCAATCAAATAGATGAAACGAGTGTTCTTTGATGGCGAGTGGAATTCGCGTAGAAGCAGACCACTACTAAATCATCAGACAGAGCCGCCACAGCGTAATAAGAGGAAAAGAAAAATAAAACAGGAGCTACAATGTGAGCTAGAAGGCGCTAGAAAGGTAGCATTGGTTTCAGACGAAAGCCCATTAGACCTCCAGGGTACACGCACTCTACCGTGGAGTCAGCGGATTCCTTTTATGAGTAGTTGATGCATCTTCTGTTACAGTATCCATCATCCGCCTTTTCAGGTGAGCATGCAAATACGATAAACGAAAGAAGAAAGGGGGAAGCAAAAGAAAGTATCCATTGCACTGATTCTACCCTCCACCGTTATGTCTTCTGCGTCCCATGTTCACCAGCCTACAATCTGGAATAAAAAGGGGAATACGCAAGGTGCGACGAACAGAAAAACAAAAACGTGAAATTCCTAAGAACTGCAATGCAGTTAACAATCTTGCATAAATTTGCACCGGGTAGTGCCACCGTCACTCGAATGTACCAGTGGTCTACTGGAAGAAACGAACCACAAAAGCCCACATTCAAGACATAGATACCCTTGCGTACGGTTTTGCGCTCGTTTGTGCTTTTTAATGTTAGGTCTGGCTCAATCCCTGGGTTTTTGAGGACTTTTTGAGAGTGCTGGTCGACTAGCACGTGGTGGCTTCGGCAGCCAGAACATCCCCCAATACCACCTGGTGGCTAAGGGGCGAGTGCGTTCATCTGCGTTCATTTGTATCTTCGCATAAATCACTGCGCCAAGCTTAATTGCCATCCTTGTACGCGGCTGAGAAACCCCCCTTTCGCATGTGTGCTTCATTGGTGTTACAACCCGCAGTGCCGATTGCCCGAGGAGCGGCAGGGCGTTGATGGTTGCACCAGCCATTTGCAGCCGTTTTCCCTCCTGTCTGCTCCAATAGCGTTAATAATTGACACCTGCGCTCCCTTCTGTGTTATTTGCTCTCTCTTTCTATGGGGCGCCTTTTCAAGGAGTGGCTGGTCGACACCAAGGTATATGTGTGAGTTTGGGGGTTCGTGTTCGGGCCTCTCCCCTCTTGTGCTTGTGGTTGGGTGTGTGCTTCTCCCACCGCTTTCCTGCGTGAAGCCTAGTGCTTGCACAGGCAACTTGCCGCGCGCGGCGGTCTCTTTCCCTTCCTCTATGGCGCGCTCGCAACTTCAGCCCACTCCGCATGGGCTCATACGCGCAAGCCAGTAACCTGCTGCGTTTCTCTCCTTCAGCTGCCGCCTGTGCCACTCGCACCTCGCAGCCCGCAGCGATCTCGCCTCGAAACAATTCAGAGGCCGCACTGGACCGGCATGGCTCTTTGACAAGTATGCGAAGGGTTTGCGGTCTAAGCCTTTGGAGATCTGCCAGGCTTCTAGGGGTTTCTAGACTCTCAGTCAAGGGCGTGTTCATGGCAACTCACAGGGTTTGCAAACACGCAGATATATCTTGCAAGTTCAGACTTTACACGGCCACTGTTTGTGTGGCTCGCCGGTGCAGGGCAACAAATGTTTCGGAAGGCCAGTGTGAAGACCGCGTCATGACGACTGGTGAGCCTGCCGGCAGTAGTGTAGGGCTGTGCAAGGAGGGCTTTGTGATGAGGCTGGCTTCTCGAGAGCGAGTCTGCTTTCGTGGGCTGCTGCTGCTGCGCTCCTCCTCTCCCACAAGTGTAGCTCTCCTCTCGTCCGCCTCTCCGTCTCTCCATTCGAGAGCTTGCTAGATGTGCGCTGCGGTTAGGCAAGCACACGATAGTTGATATTTACTGCAACGACTGCGGCACGAACGTGGGCTGGCGGTACCGCTTTGCCGTCCAGGAGTCGCAAAAGTACAAAGAGGGGAAGTACATCTTGGAGCGCGTGAGGCACCTTAGTCTGTAGGAAGCCAGAGACCTGTAGAGCCTTTTTTTTTGTAGGGAGCGTTTGACAGAGAAACAGGTCTTTGCGCAAAGTAGAGAGGGGTAGCCAGTTGACGGATGCGCAGGGGAAAAAAGGGATGCCACGTTCGCGCGTGACTGCGGTGCTCATCGCTGGTGCCTTTGAGTAAAAATTAAGCGCCTCCATTGCGCGTCTCTTGGCGCCTCTGCACGGGAGGAGGTCGTGCTCCCGTGGCACTCCACACACCCCTCGCGCGGGGGCCGCATGCTGGCTGTGCCGTCTTGTGCGGCTGTGTTCCCTCCGTCCCCTTCCACGCTCTAACGCAAGCAGAGCCGGCCTGGTCCACATGCACACTCTCCAAAAGTGCTGAACGACCCGCAAGGGCGAAAGAAAAACGGCGCGAGACGCCACGAGGAGCGCGCATCTGTTCGTTTTCGCAGGAGCTGCTGAGGGCTGAGCTGCAGGAGGAAAGTGGAGCCGTCCGTATTTGCAGCTTGGCCCCTTCTGACACCGAGTTCGAATAAGGTCAAGCGGAAAAAGTCGCCACGTCACTGGATTTGAGGCGCTGAAAATTCAGCAAAAGAGGCTGTGCTGGCTTCGGGCCGGTAGGTCCCCCGCCCCCTCGCGATGATGGTTCTTTCCAAGGAAGCTTTCCGTTGCCGCACCGCTTGCCGCGAGATCTCCCCCTATATCCGTGCGACTCCGGGCAGTCCTTGAAGGAGGCGGAGAGGGGAGGGGCGCATGGGGAAGGGGGAGGAGAGGTGCTGCTGCGTGGACATGCGCCCATGCGTCAAGCAGGGGGTGTCTGCTGCCATTCCCTCCTGCCACATCACACACCCCACCTCCCTTGTTTTTAGGAAGCAGAGGATCTTCGCTTTCCCTTCTTTCGCTTGCGTGCGCGAGAACCAGAAAGAGGGAGAAACAGACAGCTACACAGATACGCCCTAGAGGGGCAGAGGGAGGCAACTATATAGACATGCGACTTTAGGCGTATCGATATATAGATGCAAAGGTTCGCACAGAAATGGGTACTGCGAGAGAAAGGCGAAGAAAACAGGTGGAAGGCAGCCAAGCACTTTTATGCGCAGGGGCAGCAGTGCCTTAGAATCATTCGAATGTCTACCTCGAGGCCCCTGCCGCCTGCCCTGCAGCGTGATGCAGTTGCTAGATGCACGCTAGCAACTCGTGGTAACTGCAACAGCGGCAGGGGTGAGGCTGCCCACGCTCCCAATATTGGCCTCGCAATTACAAGGGTGCCAGCACCGACACGGCAACCCCCCTCTTCATGCGTGTGCCAAGTAACAGGGAAAACAGGCGCTTTTCGCAGGAAAGTGATTAACGCGGGGCTATCTACCAGCTAATTTACTTTTCTGGCGCTTCTGTTTCCCAGATATATATATATATATCTATTTCCGCGTTCCTTCGTGCATACATAGCGGCGCGGTTGAGGCCTGTTATTTCTTTTTCTTGGCAAAGGATCTGCACGTGGCATGTTTGAAAAAGACGCCGAATTTGTACCTCTGCCTCTCCCGCTGGATCGCGCTGCACGACTTTCTTGCCCCGCTACTACTTATCCTTGCAGCAGCACGTACTGCCGGCGCACTGCGTTGCACTCAAAGGGCAGCGCTGGCACTGCAGCGAGAGCAGCCCCCTAGAGCACTTTTTAGGAGCTTCCATCGCTGATGACCAGCGCATGGGTGCTGCACGGCAGGAGCAGCAGGGAATGCAGTCTGCCTCAGATGCGAAGCAGCGCTGGCCCCTTAAAGCCGCTGCTGCTGCTTCTCGAAGAGGCGAGAAGGTTGCGCTTCACAAGCCCGTGGCTTTGGGTTGTTGCATCTGCTTCTGCTGCTTCTGCTGCTCCTGCTGCTCCTGCTGCCTGCGCAACTCAACATTTTGCTGGTGTATGCTCCATGTGGTGTCGGCCAAGAAGGCCTGGCGCTCGAGGTACCTGCGGCAACGGCAGCAAGAAGAGTTCGCAAGGAGCAGTAAGCACAAATTCGCATGACACACTACGCGACTGCCACTTATGCACGCGCAAATCGCGGCTCTCCAACACGCGCTCCCTCTTTGAGGCCCCTGTGTTCATGGCAACGGAGCTAGACAAAGAGACCCTTGTGTGGGTGCGTATGTGTGGATAAGATCTCTTAACGTGCATGCAAACGGATACATTTTCCTAGCTACATACATAAAATGTATCAAACAACTATTCCGTAGGTCAAAAAAGACCAGATATATATACCTGAATGTACAGCTGGAGATTATCTCTATGAGTTTCTCATGAAAAGGACGAAAAAAAATGATATTGATAATGCTCTAACCAAAATATTTCAAGACCACATTGAACGATTCATAAAATGAATCATGAAATATAATATATACATCATACGTAGATGCAGCAACTCTTGAAGGCCGGCAATCGCTCCGAGCGTGTAGCTGCTAGGAGCTAGGGGAGGCCGCCCCCCTCGACCCCAGCGCCTGCAGAAACTCATTTTTGAATGGCGAAGCAACAACGACAGCAGCATTTCAGCTTGCCCTCTGCCTCTTCTGAGCTCGTCCTCGATCCCCGCTTTCTCCTTGAATTGACTCCTGCAGCGGCACGTCCACAAGCGCAGAATTTTCCGCCCCTCACACCAAGCCCCCACCACCGAGGCCTGCAGGCGTGGAAGCTGCGCTGTAAGACCTAAGACTGGAGTCTTGAGAAGTCGCTTTGAGGCTCACCAATCCGCCCGTGATTTCTGCACGGAATTGACTGTCGCGGCGCTCCCAAGGGCTGCAGCACACATCGACAGCAGCCGCCAAAAATACAGAATGCAACAGTCCCGTCCTGCAGGCTTCTTGCAGCACACACGCGGCAGCGAGGCCATGCGGCATCTGACACCAGCGAGAGCAGCGGCAAGAGCAGCAGCGGAAGACACGGCACAAGACCTTTGTCAAGAGCATCCAGAGCTTGCAGTTTGCCCTTGACTTGCACGTGTTGCTTCTGCTGCCTCTTCTCGAAGGCTGCAAATCGCTCTGCCGAGACTTTCTCCTCGATCCTAAGAACACAGGGCCATATGCACATGCAAGCCCGTCCACCACGACGCGCGGCGGCTGGTAAGAGCACGCAGACAGCAGAAAGCGACAGATCTCTTGCCAGCCTCTCTGCACTCTGCTCCTCCGCTGCACAACACGTGACGGAAGGAGGGGGGGCGGGAGAGGGCGGAAGCAACGGCGAGAAAAAGGCCTCAACGCCACGGGACGCTGCGAGGTGGTGCTCCTCTCACTGAAATTCTCGACCGGCAAAACGGACTGTCTTTGTAATAGTCTTTTCACTTAAGGCTGCGCCTGCATCACGAAGCGCTCCCGCACCAGCAGCACACAAATCGCACCCTTTCCCTACCTACGCGCGCCAACACTCTAAAGCGGCTGCCCACACGCGGTCGATGGGCAGCCGCACAAGAAAACATAAAGGCAGCAGCAGCAACATAAATAGGAGGGATAACAGCAACAGCAACAGGAATAGGAGCAGCATCACCACTAGCAACAAAAGCGACAACAGTAGCAAGGGCAGTTTGTCATACCTTCCTGAAGAGCTCCTCTAATAAGTTCACGTAGTCCTTCGGAAGACGCTCCTCGGCAGCGCTGCAGAGGGAGGAAAAAAAATAAAACAACAACAGAGCAGCACTCCCACAACAGTCCCCCCTTCCCCCCTCCCCATCCCTTGATCGCACCACCCCCTCCATTCCCCTCCACTCCCCCTCTCACGCAGCGGCTGCACGGGATTATTAGCAGCGCTTTTTGCGGCAAAACTGTGCACCTTTTTGAGGGCAGCAATATCCAACTTCTCTACTGGCTGAGGCAGCGTTACTGCTGCTGTTGCTGCTGCTTGTGCTGCCTCCCCTGCTGATGCTGTTGCTGCTTGTACTGCCTCCTTTGCTGACGCTGTTGCTGCTGCTTGTGCTGCGCCTGGGGGGTCTCTGGCGGCATCGACTCCAGCAGCAGCAGCGGCAGCAGCACTTGACGGTTGCACCTTTGAGCAGTGCAGCGCAAGAGCTCCCAACACGGAGGCACTCGTGGCGGGAGATCGCACTGATGGCATCCGTTTGTGAAAGCGGAGCAGCAAATTGTCAGCCGCAACCTGAGGGCAGCAGCAAGCAAATGCAGCAGCAAGCAAGTGCAGCAGCAAGCAAGCGCAGCAGCAAGTGCAGCAGCAAGCAAGGGCAGCAGCAAGCAAGCGAGCAGCGGCACAGTCGGAGGGGTGGGCGAGGATGCAGCGGGGAGAGAGAGAGAGCAAGAAAGAAAGGAAGCGAAGGGATATAATAAACACAAGAGCTGCAGCTTGGCTTACGGAAGCAGGATAGCCTTTGACGGCCAGCTGGTGCTGCTTCCTCAGCTCCTCGTACACCGCGTCTGCAGCGGCGCGCTGCTGCAGCTGCTGTCGGAGTTTCTCCGTGCGCTTATTCTGCCTGTGACAGCGACGAGTGCAGCAAGCAGAAAGAAGCCTCAAAGGCTCGAAAGCCACGCGAGACAGACACCAACAGGAAGCTCGCCAACACCACGCGTCTGCACAGCAGTGGCAACAGCGCAATCCCCCACCCCAACGCTCCCCCACACGGCCTACTTGACGACGAGCTTGAACTTCTTCCTGCCGCAGCGTGCTGCTTCTGCTACTTCTGCTGCTTCTGCTGCGTTAGAGCCGTGATTGCTGCTACTCTGGATATCATCTTCGCCCTCGTCTTCTGAGTCGCTGCTGCTGTTGGCAATCCCCGAGCACTCAAAGTCTTCGTCGTCAGATTCCGTGTCTGAGGCGAAAGACGCTTGCAGTAGAGACATCCTGACGCTGCATGCGGCTGGGCTGGTGCTGCTGCTTTTTAAAAATGGCAGGCAAAGGCTAGCAGTGGCTTTTTAATATGCCACTGGAGAACAGCCACAGCGCGCAGGCAAGCGCCGTCCTCGGGAGTCTGCGTATACTGAACTGCAGACGTCTGCCTCCGTCCAGTGGAGCTTAAAGCCGACGCTCAGGTGAAGCGGCCCCTCCCGATGCTGTTGTTGTTGCAGTTGCTGATAATGATGATGATACTGCTGCTAATGACGCTGCTAATGCTGATACTGCTGCTGCTGCTGCTGATGATGATACTGCTACTGCTGCTGCTAATGCTGATACTGCTGCTGCTGCAGATGTTGTTGCTGCTGCTGCTCTTCTCCCTCCGGATGTTCCCAGATCTGCTGGCAGCGACTTAGCTGAGCTATGCATGTTAGAAGGAGAGCAAGAGCCTTCGCTGCTACGCTGGCGGTGCTCTTGGCGCGTCCGTGCGGCTGCTTCAACAGACACCTCAGGTCACTGCTGCAGCCTCTGCTGCTGCCTGCACATGATGCACGGGCGAGATGCTTGGGAAAGCGCGGAGAATTCACTGGGTGGGGGATGGATGGGGCAGCCAGATTTTAAGCGCGTGGAAAGAAGAGCTGCTTCCAGCTGCTGTGTTTGTGTAGGCCTCCCGCAGCTGCATGCAGGCGGCAGCGGCGACGCGGCAGAAGGGCAGTTAGACCTTTGACGAAATCCTTGGACGTAGAAGTCTCAGAAGCAGAATGTGCACGCAGATTCAGAAAAACAGCAACTGCAACACTTCAGGCGCTTCGAGCGGCTGCAGTCTTGGCCGCTGCTGCGGCTGCAAGACTGCAGCCGACGCGGGGACGGCGGCTGCCTCTGCCCCCTAAGTGTGACATTTACAGTGCGCAGAGACAAAAGACCGTCCTTCTTCATCAAAACGAAGGCGAATACAAAGAAAAAACGCAGCAGCACACTCCCCCCGCTCCCTTCGCTGCACGGGCACGGCACCGCAAGAGCTGCTGCTGCCGCAGCAACTCTTGAATCAGAAAACGTCGGGAGCCACAGGCTGGGCGCCTCTGTGTGTATGAGTGCTGCCGCTAGAGCAGTCGCTCTGCTAGCAGTGGCTTCCTGAGCAGCACCGCCTTTCTCCCCCCTCCCCTTCCCAGTCCCTCCCTCTTTGCCCCAGTGTTTCTGCTGCTCCGCCTCCCCCGCTGCAGCAGGAGCAGCTGCTCAGCAGCGCAGCTCCTTTGGTGCGTGCAAGCAGCAGCAAGCCTGCAGCTCATCAAGGCCGTGCATATACGCTGCGCGGTGCGAGGCAATACACATATGTATGTATACATGTGTATATGATGGGAGTAGAACCAGCGCATTGTTGAATGGCGATGAAGTAAGCAAGGCAGCAGCTCAGCAGCAGAAAGGCCTCCTTTTAATGTGCCTCCATGGGTCGAGAAGACACACGACGTTGGAGTAGGCACTTGCTGCTGCTGCTGCTGTTGCTGCTGCTGCTGGAGGGGGGTGGGAATGCCTGCTTCTGCTGCTGCGGCACTCTGGCGGCTGTCGCTGCAGCCGTAGAGGCTGCAGCGACGGGCAGCGCATGCAGCAGCGGCAGAGTCGCTCCTCGCATGCTCAGCAGGGGAGCCTTCATCAGTTCCTCATCTTGGCTTCCCAGCATCGGCGGCAAGAGAAGCAGCAGCACATGCAGCAGCGGCACATGCAGCAGCAGGAGGTATTCCGTGATGCAGCTGCCTGTACACCCTGTTCCTCAAGCCTTGGAAGCGCCAAGGGCGCCCTTTGGATTTGAGTTTTTGCTGCAGCAGCTGCCCCCTTCGATTGCGGGGTACTTTACTTCCCTGAGGCAGCAGCATGGCAAACTGCAGCCGGAGCAGCAGCTGCTGCTCTTGGCAGCAGCAAGAGATTTTGTACTGCACAACATGTCAGCGCTGAGGGCATACGGCTCGGTGCAACCCCGCCTGCAGCAGCAGCTGCAGCAGCGCTACAAGGATCTGCTCGGCTGCATTGCAGAGGAGCAAGGCCAGATACTGCTCTCCCGACAGAGGCAGGGAGAACAAGAGATGAAGGAGAAGCAGGAGAAACAGCAGCAGCAGGGGGAGAAGCAGGAGGAAAAGCTGCGTGCTCAGCAGCAACATCAACAACAGGAGGGGGGGGGGGAAGAACGACTGCTGGGGGAACACGGCATCGCAGCTCTGGTGTCTCTGCAGCAGCTGCGAGATGCTCTGCAAATCGAAGAGCATTCTCTTGATGCAGCAACTGCGCGCAATGTGCTGCAGCGATTCCAGCAGTGCCAGAAGCAGCAGCCATCCAGACAGCCAGAACCTGTCAGAGTCAAACCTCCAGCAGCGCTGCTTGCTCTGGACGAAGTCTATGGATACATCTACAGCCCCCAAGTTCTTAAGAAACAAGTGCGTGCCTGCTGCAGCTGACCTGCTATTGTGCGGCACAATAAAAGTCGCTCATCAAGTCGCTTGTAGGGTGTGCTGCCTTCACCATGCTGTATTGCCGTTGTTTGTTGTGAATGGCGTCGTTTTGTTGCTGCAGTTGTATCGCTGCTTTTCAGTTGCTTTGTGGTGAATGGCGTTGTCTTGTTGCTGCAGTTGTATCGCTGCTTTTCAGTTGCGTTGTGGTGAATGGCGTTGTTTTGTTGCTGCAGTTGTACCACTGCTCTTCAGTTGCGTTGTGGTGAATGGCGTTGTTTTGTTGCTGCAGTTGTATCGCTGCTTTTCAGTTGCTTTGTGGTGAATGGCGTTGTTTTGTTGCTGCAGTTGTATCGCTGCTTTTCAGTTGCTTTGTGGTGAATGGCGTTGTTTTGTTGCTGCAGTTGTATCGCTGCTTTTCAGTTGCTTTGTGGTGAATGGCG